CCCCTAGCACTCGGCAAGTAAATCACTTATACTTCTTGTCTCAGGTATTACCTGGCAGAAGGTGCCTTTCTACAAAAATTAAAACATACTTACCTTATAAGCTTGGTGACCTCTTGCCTCTGCTTCAAGTTTGAAACGCTTTGACCAAGTACCAGCAAGACCCTTAATATCGTTGGTGTCTGGTGGCGAATTAACGATCACTTCGAAATTTGAGGAAAGGAAGTCAAAAAAGGACCAGTTAGACGGATCCTTGCTGTTGAGGTAGGCGACGAGCTCTGCAAGAATTTTGAACACGATCAGATTAATCGGAAGGTAGTTCTTGTTCTCTTGTATCATTTGACTATTTGTGATCATCACCTGCTTGGCCAGGGTATAACTCATTTGACATTGCTGTAGAGTCTTTTTAAAAAAAAAGGAGTATAATGTACTAGGACTGTTGATCACTTATAAGTAAAACAACGTTACCCCTGATCTTGTATTCTGATTGGCTGTTATACGCGACAAAATTCTTTATTTTCGCGAATTAGGATCGACAATATAAGAAAATGCACTAGAACATTCCGTAACAATCCTTTTCGGAAATACCTGATCAACAATGATGAGCAAATAAATAGGACTTTATTTTCCAGAAAGATCGTTGAACGAATGACCTGTCATCTATTCATTGCCACAATCTTATAAAGATACAATAATAATCCACTAAAATATATTTGCTCATATATTGGAGATTTTCAAATAAATTTACTACTTTGACGCGCGTTTACGCGCCTCGATCAAATCAATCACTTTTTTCCCTGTTAAACATGAAAATCCGATTCGTTCAACCCTTTAAGCATGACATAGACGCAATCTCATAATTTAAATAATCTAATAGCTTTAACGCAAACATAATTTAAGTCAAGTCGCAATATATAGTAGCCTTTCATAAAGTGACGGTTAAAATTTGGAGATGTCTCGTCCAAAAATTGATTTCTAAATATTGGATTTCAAATAATAAATAAATTCATGTATGTATGTATGTGAATGAACAGAAATAAAATAACATTTTTAAAGTAACCTAACCTTGGTCCAATCCATGGCCAATAGCGATCTTGTTCTAAAGCTAACTTGCTCGCTGAAATAAACGCTTCTCCACAGATAGGCAGCCGCCAATCCTCCCATCCACGTATACCCAGTGCCAAAATCGGCGACAGCCGAATTACCAATGTAAGCTAGACTACCGAAATGCGCGTAGCTAAAGGGTTCCAATCGGTCATCAAAGTCCGGGTTCTCGTTATCCACACTATCCGAGTAATCCGTCGAAGACGGAAAGATATTTGTGCAACCTGCCAGCGCCAATTTATTCAGTTTCTTGCCCAGATACTTGCCCTGTTGATTTGCAACTTGTGCAGTCTATAAATGGGAATCATCAATTATTGACCATTCGACTGACAACC